CGTGTGTAGAACCAGAAAACACAGATGACTCAAGATGTTGCATAACAGCTCTCGTGATTAAAGTGATGGCTTTAACAAGTCTGATGCCTGCAGCTGTGTGTGGTTTCTTTTCTTTTTTTTAGAAATTGTAAAATGCAGGTGTCGTTGAGGTTTCGTTCCGATCCCACTCTACACACCCAACCAATATAATAGAAAAAAAATGCACTGACTAAACCACAGGCCAGACTTATTTTCACCAAGTCTTTATTGTTCAAGAAAATTGTATTCTATTCTTATTTGAGACTCACTAATGTATGTACAGGTGGGGTCCTTTTAGCTCCTGTACTTACAGACGTACATTGTGGCTACATTCAGTGGGGGGTCCTCCAGCTCAACATAACACTTCAACACCTCAATACCCAGCAGCATGAAGCACAAAGGTCTTGAATGACAGACCAGAAGAGGAGGGGGGCCGGATTAAATGTAGCGTTTGAGGCCAATTGTGGCGGTGGGTTCTGCTAACGGAGCGCAGTCTCTCCACTTCCCCGGGTGGATTACAGGAGCTAAATAAAGCCGCCGTAACTCCAGGGTGGACGGCCTTTGTTCCATTCAACAGCACGCTGCATTAGTCACTTCACTTCAAGGCTAATGTATATCTGCTTTTACTGCAAAAGGTGCTTTTTGCAGACACATTAAAGGTGCCTGAGGTAATTGAGTGGGTCTTTTTTAGCTTTGGTCTGTCATTATTCGAGGAGTGTATGTGCGTGTGGCGAGTAATCATGGTCGTGACTTGCTACTGGATGGCTGCCAGTTTGAAGGTGTTGCTGGGAAAAGAGTGGGCAACAATACGCACTATGGTTCCCATGTTCATTATCAAGGTGTCTCCCAGCAATGCTGAACAGGATAAAGTTAGGCATAACAGAATACATCAGTGTGTGCAAAATATCTTATCTCCTTGAAATAGCATCCTCAATTTAGAGCTGAAACAATACAATTTTCTTGTTGAATCATCTGTAGAGATGGTCGAGACGTTGGTGTTGGGATCAGGTTCAAACCCCACTGCAGTCAGCATGTCGTTGTGTCCCTGAGACACTTCACCCCAAATTGCTCCTGTGGGGATTGTCCACAGTATTGAGTATGTAAATCGCTTTGGATAAAAGCGTCTAACAAGTGACATGTAATGTAATCTGTGTTCTTTAACAAAGTTTTCTTTAAAGTGGTGCACTACACTATGTTGCAGCACTCACATCCTGACATGCAGCCTAAAGAGGGTCTGAGAGTAAACATGTGTGTGTTTGTAGACAGCTGGCAGAGACGTGTGAGAACTGCAGCTGGTGTTACGATGTCTTGCCTTCAGCTTGGCCACTTTATAATAATCCATAATATCTCAAGCTGGGCTGACATGATTAATAAGAGCAAGTTTATTACTGACTTCCTGGACTAAAGAAGGCCAATAATATATGCAATAAATCTCTATTTGCTTCACTCCACTCGATTGCTACATAATAACACTGAGTCATTATTAGTTCACTTTTATTTCTAAAAACCCTGTCTTGTTTCTCTTCTTTGTTTCTTTTTTTTGTCAGGAGCGGAGATGCTAAGCAAACAATGAATATCACAGAAACTCAAACATCAACAGGAAGTCAAGTGTGAAGGACACACTATTGAGCCGTTTCATTTTCATTCATTTCCTACAAGTAGTAGCCAAGACCCAGCCCTGGATGGTGAAACATGCATGGTCCAACCGCAACCTGCATTAATTTAAAGGTGGGGTAGGTAATTTTGGAGAAACCAGCTTGAGTGCGCTAGAATTTGAAAATAAACAACCGGAGAAAATCTGCCACTTCCTTACAGAGCCCCTCCTCCAACACACACGAACGCGCACATGACCAATGAGGGCACGAGATAAGTTTGTGCACAGATGGAAGGCTGACAGGCAGGTAGGCCATCCAGTTATTTTAGCCGGGCCGGCTCAGATGATTGGTCGAACTTTTTACAGTACTACGGCTTCCACAGATGATTTTTTTTTATGGAATATAACAAAAAGTGTATCTCAAGCCGGTTTCTCAAACTTACCTACCCCACCTTTAACTTTGGTTGGATATAGTTCTGTGTATCAATGCAATTTTGTGTGGCTAATAACTTATATTAAGATCATTGCAGGATGCATGTGAAACAGAAAGGGTGAACTATGAAGTGAAAACTCATAAGATTTGTTTTTCTCTCTCTATTTGTTTTCGATCCGGTCCTTCAGTATGTTTGGATCAAAGTCTTATGGACATTTGTCCCTTCTGAGGCCACGCCTCTTTGTTTTTTAGTACATTTGTTGGTAGGTTTTCCCGAGGTCTGTTTCGGATAATTTTTGGGCACATGTACTACCAGTGCACATCTGGTGCCGAATCATCACAACAGTGACCACTATAAAAACTTCAAAGAGTCTTGATAAGGAGATAGTTATAGGCAAAAAGGAAATACAAAAATCAGAAACACCCAAACGGTATTGCTGTTAATACCATCAAGTGATTTATGAGGTCACAGTTTGTGCACTTGCTGTGTTGTGTTCCTGCTTTTTTGTCCCCCAGTGGATATTTTTTAGCTTTTGTCCCTGTGACGAAGGTCACTTCGCCACTATGGACTGACGGCTTTGGGCCGGGTAATATTGCACTTTATTAGCGGGATTGCACAGAACAGTTAACATTGGATTGGTATTTGCACATAATGTATTACATAAACCGTATTTATTGAAATGTCGTCTGGATGCTGGTATAAGGGTGACAGCGGTGAGGGTAATCAGGGTGCAAATAATATGTTGAATGTCTGTGGCTGATGATTGTGTGCACCTGGGGCCCTGGGTTGTCTCCTCCCCCCTCACCTGTGTTTAATTGCTCCCCCTCACCTGTGTCTAATTAGTCTGTATATTTAAGTGCTGTTTCTTGTTGTGCTGAGGGTCAGTCTGTGTGAGCTGCTGGTGTCCGCAGGCTGGGCACGGGAACCACTTATTGAGGCTGTGTCATTATGTGTGATCATTTAATAAATGCCCCGTCGGGTTATATTTTTGGATCTTCTGCCTCTGCCTCCTTGCTTGGTCGGGCCGCTCAACGGTCAGTACCACAGTCCCAAAGCCACTCTCCCAATGTCAAGGTTTGTGTTGGCCTAATATTTGCTCTCTGTGTTGTTTGAGCTTCTGCAGAGGTCAGGCAGATCAAGCTGAGGAGCAGACGTCTGTGTCACATTCCTCACAGAGAGACCATGTGTATGACTGCAGGAGGAAGGTCTGAAAGTACAACTCTGTTTGGGGGGATTGAGATTCATTCTTGGCTTTGAGTACGTGAAAGTGTTTTTGCTTAAGGTAGACTTCATTGTCAAGTTGCTCCAATGTGAAACACAGAAGTACAGACATGCTTGAGAATTTTAACAACTATTTATTGTCTTGAAGTATGTAACAAAATAATGGCTATGAATAAAGACAGCATTTTCGCTTTGTACAACTAAGAAAATGTTTACAGACAAGCCAAACTAATTGTACAAAAATAATGGTAACATTGATACACAATAACAAAGAAAGGTAAAAACGCTAAAGAACAGAACATCCTCACGTCAGTGTGCAAACCGTTTATACAGATGGACGTGTGGCCTTTTGGTAAGGCGACAAATCCTGATAAATTATTTAAATAGCATTTATCTACACACACGCACATACAAATCAACCTCTTGCAAACAGCTAAGACAAAACAATAATTTATCTGCTAAAAACAGCATTGGACAACATGATGGAGCAAAATTATTTATAAAAGGAAATCTCCCATTGTACTGTTATTTTCTCTGTTGTAGATCACGGGATTGGGAGCTTGTATTTGTTTTAGATATGAAATGACATACTATTTACAGCTCATGCTACAGTGGCACCAAGATGTCCATCATTTCAAAGGAATATAAAAAAAAGTTTCTATAGGTTTTGTTTAATCAAATTATACAACAGCAATGAGGTAATATTTGTACAACAAAGATTTCCTTTGTTTTTCATCTCTCTCTTAAGAAAAGGCACACGAGTCACATACACTTCATGCTAGATAGCCCTATCTGAAGCATATCTAGTTGGCTTTGTACAGCGGGAGATGAGAGACACCGATACCTGGCCGTACCCAATTTTGGATCAGTTTTCACTGTAATATTGGATGGACTTCTTTTACTTTTTCAAAGCATTCAAATTTCCTTTGCTGCCTACATTGTAGGCAAACGTCAATAAATTACATGTATTTACATACTTATAAAATTGAAATCCTCAGAGGCTGAAGGAGATAAATCTTAATGACCAAGGTTTTGATGTCAGAAGGGGAGTATTTTGGAGGGAGCACTGGCTGTAAAATAATCCTCATATTTGTTCTTGCTGGTTTGATATAGGAAGATCTTACTTCCATCCCACCCTGAGATTTGTTTAGTCAACCAGACAGCATCAACAAAGCCCATGATACTTGTGAGTTCAAAGATAGCTATCCTAAATGTAACTTTGTAATTCTCTTCTCTACAGATATTAGTAGATGGGTAAACGCACTTTCTTTTTCCAGTCTTCCACTTACAGTACATGCATAACCACAATCATCATGTTCCCCTTATTTCGAACTCGCTCAACTCCCAACAGTTCTTAAGTCCTTAACAATCATGACCCTAAACAAATTGTATTGCTGTCTTCATCCTCTGAGTCCTCAAATGTTATATCATTCAGTATCTACATCCTGGCAGATCTGGTAAAGAAATATTTCATCAGTTTTTTTTTTTCTTTGGGATGTCCATCCAGAAGGTAGAAAGGCACACAGGCTGAAGTGGTGAGACAGAAAGAGAGAGAGAGAGAGAGAGAGAGAGAGAGAGAGAGAGAGAGAGAGAGAGAGAGGGAGACTTAAAGGTTTGGAAGTGCATAGTTGTCTATGTGGAGCCGCTCCCGCACAG